AGAGATGATATTTTTACCATCTGTTCACCAAACGAGTATAAATCTAGACTGATGAAACTCAGAAAAAGAGGCAGTTATTCTGAACATGATTGATGAGCACTTTAAGGCAATTGGATAGCATTGCGATCAATGAGAGATTGTCTTTACCGACCATTGGTCATTCCGCGTTCTGAAGGCAGCAACAGTGCGACGATCATCTCTCATCTAACGTTAAGCGATATTGATACGCAAAGCATCGTTCACTGTTTGGATGATATGGCATCTTCTTTTGAACTGTACATCAATATATCCAAAATATAGATCTTCTCTTCAGGCATATTACAAGGAAATAAATGGTTACTGTAATTTGATTCAGCCGCCATCGAAGAAACTGGCCCAGCAGTACAGTCGCGAGCGAGTTTTCCTCCAGTTCCACAAGTTTCTCTAACGGAGTTGGGAAATCAGCCTCAGAAGGAATGCTCTAGTGCTGAAAGCCCCTGTAAGATTGATTGTATGTTATGTGTTGATCAGATCGTGCGGAAGACATCAAGAAGCTCAAAATATTCTACTATTGGTGTATCTTTGTGCGAGTGTGCGTTGAACTCAGTGTTTTCAGCCATTGCAATTTAACTTAACTCCGTGCTGTCGTCCATGAGTATAGATTGCAGTGACTCGAATACGTCCCTCAGTGATCCCTCCCTCCTCCCGTCCTCAGCGAGGTATTAAATCGAAAACACTGCAGGCCGTTCCTTGTGCCGGGATGCTGTCAATGAATGGGTGACCAAATCAAGACCAGATCGTATTCAATGAAGTCTGAACCTGGAGAGAACTCGGCACCGAAAATTCATGGATTTCACGGTGGCAGAGGGCTGAATAGTTTTCGTTGTGGATGAGTCTGACACTCGATACCGATATTAAAGGTATCATGCGATGCCTTGATACTGTTTATCAAGCTTGGCCAAAGAAAAGAAAACCACACAATCAACCTTGACTAAGAAGGCAAGGCGGTGTTCATGGAAGACGGCCAAAAAGACACTCAAAATGCATGTTCGATTCAAGCCTTCGGTCGGTCAGCTTTGTTAGCCACTAATCTTTCGGGTCGCCTTGGCAGCAGAGTCAGACAACGTCGTCAACGTTCCTGATGCTGTGCCAGGTCCTGAGCTTTGACAGAAGATAGCTTGCATCTGGAGAAGAGTCAGTCGAGGTAGTTCACTAAGTCGTACCTGAGTCAAAACCAGGTCAGAACTGAACGGTCCGCTGAACCAGTGCAAGTTGTTTCGCCTTGACCTCTGAAAGCAGTCACAGGACTTGCCCATACCATCCAGTTGTCGCTTCTTGATCTGCAGAAGCAACGACTGTACACCAAGGCTGAACCGGAAATCTGAACTTCGGTCCATGATGAGACACGTCAGTCCCCCGCGATTCGTCTCACTGGTTCCATTTAAGCAAATTGCATCCGGGATCACCGTTTTCCGG